CTGGGGAATTCTGGGAGTTGAAGTCCACGCATCTTAAAGTCGCCAAGGTTGAGAAACACTGGTATAGAGCTTAAATTGCCTTTAGCTGAAAAATCATGGTACAAATTGAGGAGTAGCTAGAACAAGTTTTGAATGTAGAAGGTCTCTGAAACACTGTTAGCTTTCTGGTAGGTACCCTGTCTGAGCCTCAGAGTGCCCTGCCAGCCTGAACAAACAACACAGAGCTGTGTAGATAAAAATATGAATGGATGGAACATGGGTTCTTATGTACTAATAGAGAGAGGCAGAATGGACACACTTTGAAGCCGCCCTGCAAGTCTTTCCAAGGACAAAGCAGCTCTAACGTTTCTTGTGTTTTGAATGTGTTGCACAGTCCTAATAAAACAGAGCTGTACAGAAAGTGCTGAGAACTATTTTGGTTTTTTTGGCAAAAATCCTACCACTTGGGAAGAGGAAGTACCATGACATGCCCCCGTGTTACTCTTTTTTTACATACTGTTCCTTTAGCTCTTCTCTCATTTCCAGTGTTTAATGTGCTGGAATGCCAGAGAACAAAAGAAACAAAAGCTATAGCAAATAATTAGAATACTTCCAGATAGGGAGTAGTATTGTGCAGACACTCTGGTATTCCCTGCTTTGTTTTTTTCCATCTTTTTTTCTAATTATAGAAGTCTGAAAACAGAATGGCTGCAAAGTGGATGATCCTGTCTAGATTCCTGTCTTCCTCCCCCCCCACCTTATGAATGAAGTTAGATGATTGAACAATAAAATCTTTATGTGGAAGTATCAAATTAAACATAGTTTTCTATATATATATCTTGGTAAATTTAGCTGGTGTAAACAATTGAAAGGTATGCATAAAGGGTGAAAAACTAGACCAAGGTGGTGAATTTGTATATGTTAGCAGAGTTTACTAGTATTGGGAAAATGGAGAAATTTTAAGATGTGTAAATTCTCATGCAAAAGTAGTGAATAGGATATAGTCTGCTGTGATAAATGAATGTGGTAAGAAGCAAAAATGACTGTATAACAGCTTGCTTTTGTCCACTTTGTTATATGTAAGTGAGAATTGGGCATGTCAGAGAAACATAAAAATATGTTTAGGTGGTTTGGTCATATGCAGAGAATAAATGAGGATTGAATTGCAGAATCAATATACAGGTAATCCTCACTTACCGACCGCAGTTGGGACCAGCAACTCCATCACTAAGCAATACGGTTGGTAAGTGAAATGTCACATGACCATGCCCGACTTATGATGTCAGTTTGCCAGTTCCAGCTGCGGTTGTTAAGCAAATCACCGCACATTGTTAAGCACAATGTCACGTGATCATGACTTGCAGCTTCCTGCCAGCTTCCTCATTGACTTTGCTTATCGGAAGCTGGCTGTGAAGGTTGCAAATGGCATTCATGGGATACTGCGACCATCGTAAATGCATGCTGGTTGCCAAGTGCCCAAACTGCAGTGGGATGCTGCGACAGCTGCAATTTTGAGGACTGGCTGTAAATCTCCTTTTTTAGCATCGTTGTAACTTCAGTCACTGAACGAGCGGATGGTAAGCGAGGACTACCTGTATAAAGGAAAAGTGAATGATTGAGAAGAGTTAGCGACATCCTCAAAAAAAAAAAAAAAGGGAGGTGAAAAATTTAAAGAAGAAAAGACAATGTGTGGATATGGTGGAAATAAGGATATCTACAAGAATAGAAAGGTGTGGTGGAAATGTAGTGAATGGTGTTGAGGTAATGGTTTTAGCTATGTTGCCTTTCTTATTTCATGCCTTCTAAAATATGAAGCAAACACAACAAAACACACATTAATTATTTTTCCCATCCTAAGGTCCCACAGAAGAGTAGCTAAATGCTGATCAATCACCATTAGTTGTCCAATAATTTAGTTTTCCCTGTTTAGAAGCTTATAGCCCTTCAGGGCAGAATGTTTAAAATTAATTTCTGATTTTACAGTAGTAAGAAAGAATCAGCAGTAGTTAAAAAAGCTGTATGCATTTATTTATGTCTCTCTTCTTAGAGCTGTCACTTAAGTATCCTAAATTTTAGTTACTACTGAATTAAAATTAAGCAATTTATTGTACAGGATTGGTTTTAGTAACTGGTAAACTGGTAATTTAATCATTTGAGTAATGCTGTAAAACAATTCTGTATATTTTAGATTTTTAAATTCAGATTTTCTTAAAATAATATCCTTTGGGTCCCTGACCATAATAATAAAATTAAATTAACTTCATGCATTTAATTATTTTGGTTCATTATTTCTTTCCTGCTGTTTGTATAACACTGCTGACCTCTAAAGGGACCAGGGTGATGAATATAAATGGTATTCTTAAAAAATGTGGCAAAACTATTATGTAATTCTGAAGTATATGTGTGGAATGTACTTTATTTTAATCTATCATACGTTTACATTTATTTGCAACCATCGATTTGATCAAAATTCATATGAAATTACAACAATCTGTATCAGTTCACTACATCCCCTCTCATATTAACAGCACTATCTTTCAACATCGGCTTTTGTATTTTCCTTGCGGACAGTGCAAACAATGCAACTTATTTTGTTAGATGTTCATCTACGTCAGTCAACAGAAAATAGTTTTTTTCTTCTAAACTAGTCTAATTCAGTTGGATTAACAAAAGCATGATGTATTTAACTCTAAGTTCCTGATATAATTTGCGATGTAATAAGTAATGGATCAGACCTTCCACCTGTGAGTTATTACAAATGCATAAATGATGTGTTGTTGGTAATCCTTTATATCTTCCATCCAAATAAGCTGTTGGCATTGTTTGAAAACAATGTATTTTCACCTATCAGTATTTTGGTTGTCTAATGTTATATTTATTTCTTCAAGGCCTCATAGGACAGAGCTATATCAAGATACTCCATCAACATGCTGGCCCATTGTGTATTCACCAGATTACAACATTACATTTCTGGGCCTGGAGAAACTACATCCATTTGATGCTGGAAAATGGGGGAAAGTAATAAATTTCTTGAAAGGTAATAAAAACAAAATAGAGATATAAATACTGTTGGAAATAGTCCTGTCTTAAAGAAGTCAGCTTGCAAAACAAACAAAAAGTATTAATTTTTTATACCAGATACTTTCAAATAAAAAAATATGATATCTTCATATCTAGGTTAAATGATATAGACATAGAATCATAGAACATAAGAGCTGGGAGGGACCTTTCAGTCTCATCCTGTCCCCAGTACAGGAATCAACTCCTACAACATCCCCAACAGATGGCCATCCAGCTTCTGTTTAAATACTGTAAAAACAGTTAGGTTTGCATTTATTTATTAATTAGAATTTTAGGCCACTGCAGTTGTACAATAGTTGTATAATTATGAGCTCAGAATGTAGCACCAAAAAAAGTAGGAAATATATATTTGCATGCTGGGCACATATTTCTGTTTGCTTCCGTGGCATTCATAAGGGAAAGTAGAGCAGGAAGGACAATAGAAACTTTCTGAGGCTGTGTGAATGGCTTTCATCTGATTTACTGGAAGGAATGGTATATTCCTTATAGCCATGATGTATAGCGAGTTGCTTTTCAGCCAGTCCAGTTTGTAACTGCTGGACTGGTCAAAAGGATGGATCCTCGAACTTTGATATTCACTCACTACCAAGAATCTGGCTAGGTATGCACAACATACTAGGCTAGAATTGGGAGATTGTGGTTTAGTGTGTTATGAGAACCCAGACATTACCTTAATTAACCCATTCACATTAAACCATAATATGGTTTATTTATTTGGGATTAGCCTATCATGTGAATGCAGCAATTGTATTTTCTAATATGAGTTCTGTGTGGTGTGTGAACATAATATATAATTAAGAGGAGGAAACGTCCCTAGACTAGGTTGTCAGTCAACTTAGTTGCCAAACATGGCAGTAAACAGAAATTGAATGAAGGGAGGAGATTGAAATCATTCTAGTTAATCATAAAAGTGAACTTTACACTCTCCAAATCAACTTCTGTTATTTCATGACCTCCAAGTATGTTAAACCGCCACTTCCTTCTTCCCTAGTCAACTGTTGGCATTATTGGCTAGGATAAAAGTGTTTCAACCTACATTGCGATATCTGTCTGGGGACATCTGTGGTATGCATTTGAATTATGGTACTTAGGAACCATGCGATTTGTTAGAGATCTTCTTCTGTTGGCAGAGTGTCAGAGCTGCCCTTGGAGAAGGAACTCCAACCTCATAAACATTCTCTGGGAGGCTGCAGAAAAATGTGCTGCCAGAAGACTTCCAACATTAGAATAGGCAAAAAGGAGCTGGCAGGACCCTTGGAGTCACTGAAGTTGCAGGATCTTCCGTTTCCTTGGAATGAAGGTCAACCCATGCCAGTAGATGACCTCATTTCTCTCCAGTAGACTCAGTGGGGAAAGGCTGTAGGGAAAAACACATCCCCATAAGCACTTAATTTGTAGATTGATCTATTGATTTATACTGCCGACTTCAAAATGACTCTTGATGATTCATAGCCATGAAAGTATAAAAACATAGCGTCATAAAATCATCATGAATTAAAAAGATATTAGATAATTAAATAAATCCAAATATCACCCCCCTCCAAGGATAGCACGCAAGTCATATGAGACCCTAAGATCAGCCTTCCTGAGTAACTGCAGGTAGGAGCCACCTGGATCTCTGCGAGGAGAGTGTTCTAGAGGACGGAGGCAACCAATGAGAATGCCTGCCTGTGGCCCCTCCCCCAATTCTGATGGGGAGGTTCTGAGGCACACCCTTCGTAAAAAGAATGCATGACAAGCAGATTCCATGTGGGAGAAACGGTCCTGAAGGTCCCTGGGAATCAAGCCATAAAGAGCTTTATAGAATAAAATCAGCTTTTTGAATTGCACTTGGAAACCTATCAGTAGCCAAAGCAACATCTGCAGAACCACTGTCACGTAGCTCTGGCAGCCCCCAACAGCTGTATTTTGTACCAATGGCAGTTTCTGGGTAGATGAAGGGAAATACATTTTCACATAACCCATAATTAAATCATAGGATAGCAGGATAGGGGTAGCTATCATAGCTTTCTCTTCTGTGCCAGAAGCAACATCTTCCAAATAATCCGTTGCTGTGGAACACAAGCAAAGAGAAACTGGTCTCTCCAAATTATCTAATTGAAAATGGCATCCAGGTTTAGACAGGCTGTTCATCTGATCCAACACAAGTTTTCTTACCTAAATTAAAAATATTATGGCTTGGCTTTTATAATGTTGAAAAGTGAATCTTATTTGTGTATCATTTATTACCCTCTCCCCCATTTTTTTAAATTCAGAAGCAAAGCTAATTACAGATGACTTGATTGTACAGGCTCGAGAGGCAACCGAGGAAGACCTTTTAGTTGTTCACACAAGACATTACTTGAATCGATTGAAGGTATGGTATCTTCTACTTTTTTAAATAAACCTTTTTTTAATCTCTCCTCCCCCACATATATTGCATCTGTCTCTCTCTTGTATACACACACACACACACACACACTTTCTCTCTCACATATACCCACGCTTACACACACACATCTGTAAAAAACCCATAGCAATTTTTAATTGACTTAAAGGAAATATAGATATCTACAACAAAAATAATTTCCTTCCAGCTTTAAGATTCTGATCTTCTTAGGGGCAATTACTGATGTGGTAGTACAGATAGAATGCTGAGGTCCATGTATAGCAGAGTCATTCACCACAGTTGGTGAATGTTCGTACAAACTATTGTATTGTTCATTCAATAGTTTAAGCCAAAACTGAATACAGGTAGTCCTCATTTAGTAACTGCCTCATTTAGTGATCATTTGCAGTTACTATGGTGATGAAAAAAACTTTACATCCAATCCTTGCATTTACGACCTTTGCAGGTCTGTAAATCAAATGAAACCTGAAGTAAGATCATAAGCACAGTCATGGTTTCACTTAGTGACTGCTTCACTTAATGACTGAGTTGCTGGTCCCAATTGTGGTTGCTAAAGAGGACTTATCTGTAACCATATGATAGTGTTGCCCAGCATGAACCTGAGTCCTACAGATGTAAGGAGTCTAGGGCTTCTCCCATTGAATAACAGTCACTTCTTGTGTAAGATATATTTGCTGAAATTCTCTCTTCTGTTTGCTTTTGAAATGTGAAGGAATCCTGACCTCTGCTGTATCTGGCCATTTTGGAAGGTCAAATTTATTAATTTTTAATGCAACAGCAAGTTTTCCTTCCTTCCTGGAATTTCCAGTGAGCTGTGTTGCGCAGTATGTCATTTTTGTGTTCATCCTCCACATTCCTTAATACTCAAAATAAAAAGTTGTCTTCTCTTCCTACTGATGGGTAAAAGAAGACTGGCAGGAATAGAAGCTGGCTAGCCTTAGATTCAGCTCGTGAATTTCCTCCAATTGCACTGATTGGAAAACCCACTCCTAAATCAGGTTATGAACTATTTTAGCAAGCCAAAGCACACGTTTCCCCCAATTCTGCCCTTGATTTTTTCAGTTTACATTCTTGGTTTTCTTTCTCTGGGAAGGAACAATAGGTTGGTTGTTAAATTCTTTCTTTTTGATAGAAATTATTGGACATAAGGAACAGGTAGAAAATGTCATAATATTTCTATTGCAGTTTATGTAAATGTAATGCAATTTACATTTCCACAAGATATAACTTAATAGAAATGCAGTGGGCAACACGCAGGTACCACCCCTCTAAAAACTCTTGATCAATTGTAGATTAGCGTGCAGTTTCAAAACGTTTTTGCAGAGCAGCGTTGGCAAGAATCCCATGAAGTGCTTCAAATCACACTGCAGCCCGTGGTGTGTTTTTGCTGTAAGTTGTGCAAGATGTTTGAAGAGTGGTTAACTTTTTTTGTATTGCTTACAGAAGTATATATTGGAAAGTTTTGAAGAGGTATTCTAGATCACGGTGTGTTTTCGCCGTACAGTGGAAAGTGTCATACATTTAAAATGCAGCTTGGTTATTTGTTGCCTTGTCCTTTCAGTTGGGTCGTTTTACTACATTAGCTCCATTCAGCACTGAAATCGTTGCATTATTTGTTGCTGCTCAGTACTTTTGCCTTTGCAGAATGTTTTCGATGTTAGTGTTTTTCTTCATTTTTTTTTGAAAACATTATTAAACATGGTGCTTAAATTATCTGATTGCAGTTGGGCATAAGGACACAGTGAATATTAAAGGGTAGTGTAACAAACATTGCTTTCATCCCAAGCTCAATGGCCTAAATGAAAAAAATACATAATATAATCCTGGGCTATGTCAGATGGTTGTATCAGCAGGAGGCAGCTGATCCGGTTGTTTTTTTCTCTTCCTTTTCACTTCTTGTGTGGCTTCTTGGATGCTTACCTGCTCGTAGTGTCTGTAGCTTATATGGGGACCTTCTAGAACAAGGAAGGATGCAGGAAAATGGAAGAATTATCTCAAATTAGACAAGGATTTTAAGACAGAAACTACTATAAGAGGAAGGATGGATGAAAATAATCAGGAGCATAAGTTATCTTCTCAGGCAGCTCTGGGATCCAGCCCTTTTAATCTGCTCCTCTTGTTCATTCATCGTCATTTTATCAGGATGTCACTTTGTTGAAATAAATAAATGCTTTTCCTTTGCATATACAGGTGAAACTCGAAAAATTAGAATATCGTGCAAATGTTCATTTACGTCAGTATGGCAACTCAAGTTATTGATGTCATGTAATATTCTAATTTTCTGAGATTGTGAATTTGTGGTTTTGTTATTGATGTCATGTAATATTCTAATTTTCTGAGATTGTGAATTTGTGGTTTTGTTATTGATGTCATGTAATATTCTAATTTTCTGAGATTGTGAATTTGTGGTTTTGTTATTGATGTCATGTAATATTCTAATTTTCTGAGATTGTGAATTTGTGGTTTTGTTATTGATGTCATGTAATATTCTAATTTTCTGAGATTGTGAATTTGTGGTTTTGTTATTGATGTCATGTAATATTCTAATTTTCTGAGATTGTGAATTTGTGGTTTTGTTATTGATGTCATGTAATATTCTAATTTTCTGAGATTGTGAATTTGTGGTTTTGTTATTGATGTCATGTAATATTCTAATTTTCTGAGATTGTGAATTTGTGGTTTTGTTATTGATGTCATGTAATATTCTAATTTTCTGAGATTGTGAATTTGTGGTTTTGTTATTGATGTCATGTAATATTCTAATTTTCTGAGATTGTGAATTTGTGGTTTTGTTATTGATGTCATGTAATATTCTAATTTTCTGAGATTGTGAATTTGTGGTTTTGTTATTGATGTCATGTAATATTCTAATTTTCTGAGATTGTGAATTTGTGGTTTTGTTATTGATGTCATGTAATATTCTAATTTTCTGAGATTGTGAATTTGTGGTTTTGTTATTGATGTCATGTAATATTCTAATTTTCTGAGATTGTGAATTTGTGGTTTTGTTATTGATGTCATGTAATATTCTAATTTTCTGAGATTGTGAATTTGTGGTTTTGTTTTCATCAGCTGTACGCCATAATCATCACAATTATACCAAAGTAAGGCTTGACATATCTCGCTTTGCATGTAATGCATCTATCTCATACAGTATATTGGTTTCACCTTTTGAGTTGCCATAATAGCAAATGTTACATTTGAATTACTAGCCACACTTACTGAGTAAGACCAGTTTGACTTGGTTGGACTTTCTTCTGAGTCAATATATTTAGACTATGTTCTAAAGGGATTGTGTTTGTAGGCCACCATCCTACAGATGCTGATTGGGGATAAATCCCATTGAATCAAATAAATGGGACTTGGGTAGACATGTGTAAAGTGTGTTCACAAAAATTAATCTTCAGTCAAATTTGGCTATACATTTTCCCTCCCTTTTCTTCTAGTGGTCCTTTGTAGTGGCTACGATCACAGAAATCCCGCCAGTCCTTTTTATGCCAAATTTCCTTGTTCAGAGGAAGGTGCTCAGGCCTCTGAGAACACAAACAGGAGGAACCATAATGGTAAGACAAGCACGTTCAGTATTTTCTTTCCCTCTTGCTTTGTTTCTAAAGCTGAACAAATCTTCTCTAAGCAGTAGGAAAAAAGTGATCTACTTGATGATGAAAGAAACTCTTTTGTAGAACTCAACCCTCACCTCCACCCCAGGTAATACTGCATTCACATGACAGAGTGACCCATCACTAACTCTGTCACCACCTTCTCAACGAATCCAGCTTTCCTGAGCTTGGAGACCCATTGAACCAGAAGTCATCAACAGCTGAGTTTGATAAGATTTGTTTTTGATTCACTGTGCCATGTAAATGCAGCCATTTTTAAATTCTGATTGCTAGTGGTTCTCCAAATTTTATCATACCTTATCTTTTTTGTTTTACAGCAGACGCCAGAGCCTAGTGGAAGCATGCTGTTAAATTTGTCACTTTATCTAGTGGTATTTCTGTAATAGTTTCTGCAGTTTTGACATTGTGAGAGTCCAAATTGCTGTCTAGTTCTAAATAAGATAGAAACGCCATTTTGGTAACCTTGCCAAGATAACAGCATGGACATAGCCATAAATCATGAAGAGTTTAGTTCAGCTCAAGGAGACTATCATAGGATCGGACTTGGATTAGAGAACTAGTTTGGTGTAGTGGTGAAGCACCAGGCTAGAAACCGGGAAATATTGAGTTCTAGTCCTCCTTAAGCACAAAGCCAGCTGGGGAACCTTGGGCCAGTCCCTCTGTCTCCGCCCTAGGAAGAAAAAGGCGGCAAGGGCAAACCGCTTCTGAAATCTTGCCAAGACACTGCAGGGACGTTCTAGGCAGTTGCCAGAAGTCAATACTGACTTGAAGGCATGCACGTACAGGATTAGACTTAATATTAAGGTATCAAAGAAGTGTGAAAAGAACACCTTTTATGGCCCTCAGAGCTTCCCCCAGAGGGGGTGGGCCAAAAATAGTCCCCTTTTTAGTATGTGGGGAAGTTTGGGACGGTTTTAAGGAATGAAATGGCACCTTAAATCTTGTAAAAGCTTAAGGTGCCCATTGAATCACTTAAAAATCTCTCAGCTTCTCCCAAAACAGTAGGCTAATGGAAGTTTCACTTTAAAGTTCAAAACCCCTTGTGCTCCAGTTGAGTAAGTAGCAAGGGTTTAATTTCACAACAGTGCTTAAACTGAGACATTTGTGGAATCCCTGGTGAGCTACTTTGCACAAGTCAATCCCTTTTTTCTCTCTTTGTCTTAAGGCAGGGAAACTGGCCATTGAGCGAGGGTGGGCAGTTAATGTTGGTAAGTAGGAATAGATTTACTTCCTTTATCACAACCAATTCTACACCACAACCTCATTGCCTCTTGCCTGCTTACAGCCATCCAGAATCTCTGGTTTGCTGCTACTCCTAGTCCATTGGTATCCCGCTGCCAAAATCCCTCCTCACTCTTCCCGCGTGGTGATCTTCCTTCAGCCTCTTCAGAAGCTTCCTATTTGCTTCTTGACCTTGTCTTCAGAGCCTCACCTCCCTTTGGTCTTTCTGGTACTTGAAGAGCATTTCCATGGCATTGCCACCCCTGCCCTGATGTCCTCTTTAGCAGTTTAGCACTGCCACTGCTGTGCTCCTCCTGCCACGGAACCAGCCAGCGCTCCCTCCAGCCGGCCAACAGGAGAGCCTGTCAAGGAGCAGCCAGGCAGCCGCTGCGCTTGTCCTTTTTTAGAGGAATTGGGGAAGAAAGAAGAAAGGCCAGCAGGATGGGGAGGGGATGGTGGCAAGGCAGATTGCACCATGGCTACCAGAGGGAGGTGGATGTCCCAGGAGCTGAAAGGTGGGATGAGCCAGGAATTCCATGAATAGGAAGCTATCTGTTCTGCAGGTTTAGGAGAAATGGTGCAAAACAGTGTTTTTCAAACTTGGCAACTTTAAGATGTGTGGACTTCCCAGCTGGGGAATTCTGGGAGCTGAAGTCCACACATCTTAAAGTTGCCAAGTTTGAAAAACACTGGTGTTAAACTATCTTTTGGAGCAGAACTGAGGAGCTTCTGAAGCCCTACATTAGCCACATAGTCCGTGAGGGTGCAGGGGCACAACTCGTGTGTGGAAAGAAGCCAGCGTTATTTTTGTCATTTCTGCTCTCACAGCTCCATTGCCTCTGGATATTTTCCTTCAAATATCTCCACAAAACCCACCTTTTCTGGGAAGAGCCTGGTACAACACTTTAGTTCCTGTATCTTACTCCCAAAGTGCGATTTTGCTAATGGAGCACAGCTTAGAAGCCCTTTTTCTGCAACACCTAGCATTTTAGTTCTATATATTCTTCAAATCTGCTACTTGTTTTTCCAGGTGGTGGCTTCCATCACTGTTCAGGTGATAAGGGTGGAGGCTTTTGCGCATATGCTGATATTTCATTGGCTATAAAGGTAAACAAACAACTTGATTCTTTATAGAAACTGCAAAATTATATTTATCTTACATCTGAGAAACCAATAACCGATTTTGTTCTTAGTAGTTCAGATAATGGAAATGGAGTATGGAATTGGTTTCTTCTTCCCAGAGGAAGCAGGAAATAAGATGATCCTCTTCTTAGGATGTGCCTTTCCCCCAAGGATTAAATTAGCTTTTATATACTTCATTTCTACTTGCAACATCATCTGATACAATTATCAGATGATTATCTGACTGTGTTCACAGATCATGGCTTGTTTTGGGTTAGCATAACCGTGAACCCAATAATTATAGTCTGCAACCGCTTTCTGGTTTAGCATTATGTATGCACTAGGCCACTATAACTTAATCAACAGATGGGGTTGAAACCAATTTTGGTTGGTGCAATGTGAGTTAAGTCTTTGTGGTTATGATTAAGACTGAATGATTTTATTATTCTGCCCTCCAAATCCAGTACAGAATCCAACAAATTTGTACTGTAAACACAGAAGCCAAAATAGCTCAGCTGGGATGATTGAGTAAACCTCATTGACTAAACCTCATGCCTCTTTAGCTTCTTATAAAGAATTGGGAATTGGATAAAGAGATGAGAAGAAACACATATATTTATAGAGTTTACACAAAACATTCTTCATGTATTTGGAGTGTTTGGGACTTAGTATGTGCAAAGAAAGGAACTGTGATTGACAAACCATAATTCAAAGGTTAACACATCAAGCTCAGCTAATCAACAAGTCATATTAGGGCTTAGCAGGATGTGTGAACTAGACTCTTGATTGGATGACTAGGATGTTGTTTTCTTCCTGGGTGTGGGTTTCATGGATGAAAAGAAGTACATTTCAGCATAAACTAAATTATGGAAAGTGTTTTCAAATGGATATTCTATATTATGATGTTAAAATAAATAGCCCGTTATAGATGCCTTATATGCCATAATTCTTTGAAGATGCATAGCCTGGGCAAAACAGATGTTTTAATTTTGAAACTTCTTATCTTTTCTCCAATTTCTTTTTTATTTCTTTTGCTCTATTTTCCAGTTTTTATTTGAAAGAGTAGAAGGAGTTTCTAAGGCAACCATTATAGATTTGGATGCACATCAGGTGAGTGATGAAATTAAAATGTTCTGAGACATACTACCATAAAGAAAATTAATTCCTCAACTGGGAGTTTTTTCCAGTATATTTTTAAAAAGCAAAACTTAACAAGCGACTTTTAATACAATACAGATAGTCCCCAGTTAACTATGGCAATTGGGACCAGAATTACTGCTGCTAAGCAACACAGTCCTAAAGTGCGATATCACGTGACTGAGCCCCTTAGCAATGGCAATTCCAACACTCCCAGTTGCTGTCATTAAGCAAATCACTGCAGGTCGTTAAGCAAGGACATCATGTGATTACCATTTGCAACCTCCTGCCAGCTTCCCTATTAACTTAGCTTGTTGGAAGGCGGCAAAGAAGATTGCAAATGGTGACTATGGTGACCGCGGGATGCTGCAATGGCCAGAATTCCAATGTCACAAGTTTGAATGGTTGCTGAATGAATGGTTGTTAAATGAGGACCACCTGTAATTAATTGTCATTTCCAGGGAGTTTAAAATTTGCTTAGACACTGAGTAAGAATGGTCTTACAGGGGTGTCTTAAGGAATGGGAAGAAGAAATCCAAGATGGAGAAGCAGTATTTTCCTATGCCTGCCAGATTCATAGTTGGGAACAGACCTATATGTGCCTATATGCCTGTACATAGGAGCTGAACTAGTATTGCCTAATAATTCAAAATTATTAGAGTTAAGAATTCTGGAGTTCAGAGGAATCCTGTGGCAGCTCCTTACTGTAGTTAATCTTGATACCAGTAACATTCCCACACAATCACATTCTGTTATATCACAATAAACTGCCCTGCAAGTTGTATTAAAGTTGTATTAAAAAAGAACCAAAGAAGAAACGATTTGGCCTGATTAATTGGTTTGTATTATTTTAACTTGTAGGGAAATGGACATGAAAGAGACTTCTTGGAAGATAGAAGAGTATATATTATGGATGTTTACAACAGGTATATTTATCCAGGAGATGGGTTTGCTAAACGTAAGTGGAGAGTATTTTTGAAATTAATTTGATCTAATTAGTACAGTCTAATTTGTAATCATGGAATTATTACACTCAGAATTTAGTATTGTTCCCTGAGGAATGAAAGGCAGCATTTTTTTAGCTTTTTTATTTTTGTAATGTCTGGTTTTTATAACTTTTAATTGTATTTCTGAT